GCCAGTAAATGCAACAGAATGAATTAAGGTTATTACTTAACAACTTTACATTCCTTAGTTAAGCTACCCAATATCAAGCTGACTTCATCCTCTCAAGGGAAAGGTGCTATATGCCAGGAAATATCTGATAACACAAAACACCAGCAAATCTAGGATGTAATTTCTACTCTCAAAAACTATGTACATCTCTAAGGTCTGTATCAAGCAGATTTCTGTTTCAAAGAGAGCTACCATAGATGCTTTCAGGCAGATAGCAAAATAAATCCAAACATCCCAAGCAATGAAGTTCTTAAACATCCTAAGAGATGGGCACTCATTATTCAAAAAAAATTAACTACCCAAAAGCCATACGGAATACAAAATGCTTCACACATACTATTATTTGGAAGAAGTGCTTTGGAATGTGCAGGAGCCTGACCACAGCATCACATCAAAGCAGGCACATCTGTTTTCAGGTCTCCACATGAGTCTGGAGAAGACATAGCTATTCCTGTGCATTCCAAAAGAACTCTTCCAACTCATTTTTGAAGCATGCACAGTTCTAATACATAGTCTAATCATGGCTGATTCCCCCTCCCCCACGCAGTACCTTTTTGTACCCAGCAACTGCATTACACATCCTATTTCTATGGCACTACACCTGAACAAACATTAGCTTGCATGTCAGAGTTTTCTCTAGCAGATTTTCCTCTCATATACTGCCCATCCCTGGAGTACAAAGGAAGGTGAAGAAACCATTCTCATCAGAGAATGTCATTCTTTTAGTTAAGATAGCTACCATGAACAAATACAGTATACTGTGCACTCACTATACTGACAACACAAAAACCAATTGGAGTTTAGTCACAACTGCTTATTTATGACGCCCTTGCATACAACTCAAATTGAAGGCCAGAAAAAATAATTATGTGTATAAATTTGTGTGTGTGTGTGTGTAAAATAGATTTATACATCTAAAAAGGGTTGAAAGTGCAAAGAACCAAGGAAAGCTGTATATTCAGAACAGGAAAAAAAATAATGGTTTACTCTTTCAAGAATATGAGTCTTAACATTTTCTCCTTCCTTCTTCCATAATTAGCTACCCTCTAAGAAGATACTGTGGCATACAGCTATTTATTTCAGGGAATACTCAAAATATTTAACCTTTACTATATGGAATCTGGTTTCAGAAGTGACCTTAAGATACTGTGACCTTACAGTATACAGACTACCAATTAAGTCATAAAGAAAAGTTGCAGCCAGCACCGAATTGGCTGTTGAATAAACTGACATTTAATAGAACATAAGTATATGTCACCAGTAGGACAGATTTTTTTCTCTTAAAATATTAACACTGGTAGATTATTTTGTTAATTTAACCTAAAGAGATTTAATTGTTACACTTAGATTTCTCTTGGCAGGAATTCTATTTAAGAGAGTGAAATACATTTAAAGTTATAAATCTACATAGGAATCTCAGAACAGGTTTAATATCACAATTTGTTGACATCTAGAGAATGCTATATACTAAGTCTGTCTTTAATTCACGTTTAGAATGAAACAGCCTTGACACTATCTTGGAACAATAAAGCCACATTTCTTATACTAAAAATCTAAAAGAAAGAACATTGATACCAACCCATCACTATTTATCCCTTCGTTAATTTGCTCTGGCTTGAAATGCTCTTGGTCCTTGAGAAAGGGAGAACAGCTAGAGCTCCAAAATAACAGCCACTATCAATGGCATAAGCCTTTGAAGACACATTCTGAGTAGCTGCCATATACAGCATTTTCAGTCTACAAAACTGATCTGTAGAGCAATATGGTGAGTAAAGTTTTTGTTTGCTTGTTTGCTAAAAATAAATAGGAACAATAATATTTCTTTTAGTGGGAAGTATTTTCAGAAAAGCAATATCCTTTTACTTCAGCGTTACCTTCTCCTAACTTGTACAGAAGAGCTGAAGTATTTATAAAACTTGTCTGTTAGAGAGAAAACTATTTGGGAGATATAAAATATTTACTGGATTTAGCTAATAGGAAGATGATCTTGAATGGAAGACTAAACAACAACAACAAAAATCTTGCCTGCCACATTTACCAAAAATTCTTAGCAAATGTAACATCACCTTACATTTTAAAGTTAAACTATTTGGAAAAAATTAGTATTCATTTCAGGTAAATATCATCATCTACCCCAGAATGCCACCAAATCACTCTCTTTCAAATAAAAACGTAACAGAACTTAACCAGTAGCACACAGAACATTTCAAATACAAACTGTTTCAAATTTAAAACAACCCATTTCAGGCTTGAAACAGTTACTTCATTCATTTTGGAAGCATTCCAAGCTCAAAACAGCTGATTAGAGTTGAAGCATTCTGTTTTGAGTACTAAATACTACTTTCAAAATGATTGAGACAACTCAGTTTAAAGGAAAAAGAGGTGTTTTGAGCTTGAAACAATTTGAAACATGAAAACGTGCTCTATCACTGAGACGTGGTCTCTTCCTTTCATCCCATCTCCAATATTGGTCTCCCAAATTATGAAGTACAAGGGTCTTCCAATGCAAGGAAACATTACCAGTGTAGAATATCAAAGTGCATGTGCTGTGAGATCTGGAACCTGGGCAATATATAACAATTACATTTGCTATTATGTAAAGGACACAGAAATCTTTAAAAATTAATACTGGCACCAACTAGTTTCTCAGTAGTGTTCTCAGGAGTTGAAACTAAAATAGTGCTATTTGTACTACAGAGTTCAATGGAAGTATGCCCACTAAGGAAATCCCATGAAACATGTTACTACACACATTGCTGTAAGTAATTATCTGCCAAATGTGTGTGTTTTAGTAAAATCTGAGATATCAAGAATACCATTGGTTGTGAACAGAGAAGCTATTCACTGATATTTAAATATAGTAGTAAGGCTTATATTGATGGCAGTATTGCTTATTCACAAAGAGAGAATGCACACTGTAGTTGTTTCAATGATTTTATACATATTAACCAAAAGTAATTATATAAATATTCAGTAGTTGTGACTGTGGAGTTCCTACTTCTAATAGTTTTAAACAAGTTATTGTCCAAAGAATACGAGCTATACTCTTATTTGTAAACCAGGTCAACCCCATCTCTTCTTCTCTGCAGTCTCCAGAGTCCCTACAAAAAGCCACTTTGGCAATCACGTAACCCACAAAAGTAGAGTGCAGTGATGAATACTGGGAGATGAAAATCATGAGGCTACAGTGTGCAAGTGGAAGGCATTTTCAAATCCTGGTAAAAAAACAAGCTTGAATCAAAGCCATTATGTTTAGCCATAAATAATGGCCACTAAATACTGGAATCAAGTGTTACTTCCAGTTTTTGAAATACTGGACAGTTGTTTTATTTTTATGCTAACATAAATAATTGAAAATGCAACCATTTCTGGTATATCGGATAACAGACTAAGTGCCATGTCAACACATCACTGTTAGTGACCAGAAAAACAGGATTTGGAGAAAAATAAGTTGCATGATAGTACTAGGTGCCCACTAATATCACACAGTACAACAAGAAAATAAAGGCTAATATTTTATTATTTTTAAAACAGAACCCTCCAAATTATAGAAATCAGATGACTCAAACAGATGTCTAATGTCAATAGGTTATGAAAGATAAATCCTGACAAAATACTGGAGCTTAAAGGCTCTTTTACAAGAAAATATACAAAAGGTAGTCTGCTGAAAACTTTTCTATGCTGCTAAACCCTCACTGGAAAAAAATGAACCATGCCATACAAATTTAAACACAGTCCTACTTCCTCCCACAGGTGGTATAATTCTCCTCATCTGGCTGGAAACCTCAGTGATATTCAAGAGAAGTTACATGAAATAAATCTGCTCAAGTATTTCCTTCTAAATTGTCATAAAGTTCATGTTCAGAAGATGCAGTCTCCACAGCTCACTCTTCTATGTCCTATTCCTGCTGTCCTACTTTCAGTTAAGTTTGAACTGAATGAAGCTTTCAAAATCCCTCTCCTAGAAGCTCAGCAGACTTGGAAACCTTTTGAGTAAGGAACTCACTTCAGAAATGACAAAAAATTGATATAAACCACTGATGTTAAATTCTGTCTTGCTTTTGAAGGAAATTAAAAGTCATAACGCCATATAAATGCAGTGTAAACTGAGTTCAGTATTGAAACACAAAAAGAGTCTTGTTTGATTTGTTTTACAATATTGTTTCCTCCTTAATAACTAAATTGTTATTGCACAACAGGTCAGTTTTTTGTTGTTTGGAAAAAAAGAAACATCTCTGCATTTTAAATTTTCCTTAATTACTTCTAAAATTGTACTTCTCTTGAACAATCCTTCAAAGCAAATTCTGGTGCAGATCACTTGCCTTTTACCAGGCGAAAGGGATTCAGTGATGTCAAAACAAAAAGCGGCATCATTCTCTTGCAGAGCTATACTTTCAAACAGTTCAATACCTTTGGGATAAGCAGAACATCTATCTTTATACATTTGGAATAAAAAAAAAGATTTTCTTCAACTACAACAAACAAAAACTCTAAAGTGCTTTGCTATCTCTGCAGGAATATTGACAGAAATAATTATAAATATCATTTTAGTTATCTCTAGAAAGGTTTTCACTCAGAATTAACAGAACCATAGCAACAGTATTTTTGCAGAACCTGTCATTTAAAATGTCAAAATTTTTTGCAAGTATCATAATTGCTCTAAGAGGCATATGATACTATTTTGCATGCAGTAGGTAAATGAAGCATCTAAATCCTTTTTACAAGCCTAAGAACTCTATC